CCGCCATTAGGTGGGAGAAGATCGCTAGTAGGTTGGAGGCCATCGCTCTTAGGTTGGAGGTCATCGCCGGTAGGTGGTAGGCCATCGCACTTAGGGTCCTAGGGTGGAGGCCATTGCTTCTAGGTTGGAGGCCATCGCTATGAAGCTTAAGTAGCTATTGGGCGCCAGGACGCCCTGCACTCTTTGCATCTCTTTGCACAGGCTTCTTCAAGGAAGCTTGATGGCGGGCGTTAGCTTCCTTGAAGCCCTGATTGATTTTGGTTCTAGATTTTTTGGGAGACTCAGCTTTCCTTCCTTCCCCGGCTTGGAGCTGCACATGTCAACGTTTCCAATAAATTGTCAAGAACTGATTGCTGCGCGCAGCCGGCAAAAAGGCAACCTCTTGAGAGAGAAATGCAAAAAGCAAGTTCGGCATTAACCAAGCAAATCAGGAACAGGACTGTTTTGACTTCAGTTGACGAGAGGTTGACGAGAGGTGACACTCAAAGTCAGAGAGACACATTCGGTGAACCTGCAGGATGAATCGGCGCAATTCCAAAACCTTTGGGTCTGTGCAGCGCTGTCCTCGATTCTTCCTGCCTTCGTCCTCCTATTGCTGCCTTGGTTGATCCCAGACCGGAAGCAAACCGACAAACTTCTACATGAGGGGGATGTCAGTGTCACGGAGGGATCTATTTGGCACCGTTTTATGGGGCAAGACGCTTGAAGCCATGGTTTGTCACTCTCCGATCCTTGAGCTGACACAGCAGTCTGTGAGATCAAAAGACTTGCTGCTTTGCCAATGCGAGTGTTCTGTGCACTGTTGAAGCCATGTGTAGCTGTTCAGACCAGTTTGTGCGGCACCATGCCTCCACCCATTCTTTGTCGGGCATGGCGGCATGACCCAATAACAAAAGTTCTGGGCGGCCACACTTAGCAACAAGCGATCTGACATTCGATGCGTGAAGGGCGAGTTGCATTTTTGGCTCTGTTTTGATCTTCTTGCCCTATCTTGTCGGTCCTGTCGCCATGGCGAACCCCAAGGTGTACTTTGACATGCAGATTGGAGGTGCGGACGCCGGGCGCATTACCATGGAGCTTCGCGCCGACGTGGCTCCGAAGACCGCCGAGAACTTTCGCTGCCTTTGCACGGGTGAGAAGGGTATGGGGAAGTCTGGAAAGGCGTTGCACTTCAAGGGCTCGGCATTTCATCGCGTGATCCCGGACTTCATGTGCCAGGCGACAGTGCCCTCTGGGTTCGGAGTTCGGATGGGTCAGTTGAAGCTTATGTTTTGTGAGGATGTAGGTGATTTCATGCTTTAGGTGAGGATGTAACGTGATGTCATGTTAAAGCAAAACGAGTTTGAACCCTCTAGGGTGGCGACTTCACGGCTGGTAATGGCACAGGCGGCGAGTCGATCTATGGAAGCAAGTTTCAAGATGAGAACTTCACCCTGAAACATACCGGCCCAGGCATTCTGTCCATGGCCAATGCGGGCCCCAACACCAATGGTTCTCAATTCTTTCTGTGCACTGTGAAGACGCAATGGTTAGATGGAAAGCATGTGGTGTTTGGTAGCGTTATCGATGGCATGGACGTGGTCAAGAAGGTTGAGGCAGTTGGATCACAGTCGGGCAAAACAAGCAAGCCAGTGGTCGTCGCAGACTGTGGTCAGCTGTCCTGAGCGAGAGGCACAAACAACTCTTGTTGCAAGTCAATGCACTTGCAGTTTTGATGTCTGCAATGTGACGGTGATAAAGCAAGATCTTTTGGGCGTTGAGCTTGAAGGCAGCTTTGTCCAGCAATCTTCAGTTTTCCTTAAAATCGTTTTCTTATGCATATGTGACTGTCCGTTGTCATCTTGGGCTTTGAGAATTGGAGGCTTGAATTCTTGACTGCTTGTCACTGCACTCAGTTTGATCACTTGACTTCGCCTGGTTCATTTAGCTTTGGCCCAATGGAGGGGATATGGCAAGAATTGCCGGGGAAGGTTGGTCTTTTCTTGCTGTGGAACCTGCTCATTTTGTCTTTGTTTCTAAGAGCGATGGCCTCCAACCTGCTAGCGATGGCCTCCAACCTACTGGCCATGGCCTCCAACCTACTGGCGATGGCCTCCAACCTACTAGCGATGGCCTCCAACCTACTAGCGATGGCCTCCAACCTACTGACGAAGGCCTCCAATCTAAGAGCGATGGCCTCCAACCTGCTTGGGGAAGGCCTCGAACCTAAGAGCGATGCCTCCAACCTACTAGCAATGGCCTCCACCTCCAACCTACTGGCTAGTAGGATATCGCAGACATTTTGTTTTGTTGAGCTTCAACTGCATCAGGCGGCCCATGGCAGATCCAGAGGCCTTCATTTGGGAATCTTCATTCGCAAGGAATGGTCAAATGGAACGAGCTGTCTGCGAGGCAAATGGGCCTCCTCCAGGTGCCTAGAGAAGCTGTGACGAAGTTGGAACGGATGCCAAAGAACAATGCCTATTGTTGCTATTGGGTGGCCTTGCCTCGACTACCCCCTACCAAGATGAAGACATTTGTGTTGCAAATTGCAGACTTTGACAGCAAACTGGACAATTTGGAAACACGTGTCAAGTCCTGACTTTTAATTTTTGTCTTAACGTAGGTTGGAGGCCAAAGAGATTACTTTCTTTTGTCCAGTTTGCTCGTGACGTTCATGGCCTACGAAGGTCCAACGGTTCCAACGGGTCCAACTCCACCTGGCACAGTGAGGCTGGCCAACCGTGGCTGGGTTGCACTTAGAGCGAAGCGCAAACCGTCACAACATTTACATTAACAATCCACCCTAGTAACCCTAGTAGTGATGGCCTCCAACCAAGGGAGCAAGCTGAGCAAAGCAAGGCAGTACCCTTTTGCTTGACATCTTTGGCCCAGGTGGTGGCCTTGCTGAACTTGTAGCCGATGCCGAGTTGGAAAAGGCACAAGTGTGCTGGAAGATTTGATGGGTAGTGGGAGAGGCTAACTGCAGATGTTGAGGGCTACGGGGTGATATGCGTGCCACATGAACCACCATACACCAATGGGTCTACGAAGCAGTTACGTCACCCAGCTTTGGCTTCCATTTGTGACTCGCATGGGGGGGCCCGATGGCCACACATCCCGTCTACGATCGGGCAGACAGACGGACAGACAGAGAGATGCCCATTCGATATGCATACACGCGTAGGCATCTAGTTGTGCCAAAATAGAGGCAAAGTTGCATCCCCATGTGAGTGCTAGACCTAGACCTGTTGGGCGCAAACTTCCAGACATGATGTGGATTTGCCATGCTGTTCTGTGGCGAGTGCTGGTCGAAGCAGTTCGGACTGCAGTTTGATGGTTTGTGCATACAGATTGAATGGCGCTGGGCAGGTGCTATCGCCCCAAGCACCTCCACCGGCCTCTGGAAGGATGTTGCGTGTCGTGCCCCTAAAAGCCAATACGAGCACCAATGACCATTGAATCATGTTTATTTGTGGATGCTATAGAGGCAGTGCATTGATCTCAGATTTATGCAACGCAATGCTCGTTACTCACCAGGGTGGAGGCGATCGCTACTAGGTTGGAGGCCATCGCTACTAGGGTGGAGGCCGTCGCTACTAGGGTGGAGGCCATTGCTGCTAGGGTGGAGGCCATATCGCTTTCAGGGTAGGGTGGAGGCCATGGCCATTAGGTTGGAGGCCATCGCTTTTAGATGCTTTTAGGGTGGAAGGCCATCGCTACTACGGTGGAGGCCTTCGCTATTAGGTTGGAGGCCATCGCTTTCAGGGTGGAGGCCATCGCTAGTAGGGTGGAGGCCATCGCTAGTAGGATCACTTTTACTTCCAGGTTGGAGACCAATGCTAGTAGGTAAAAAGGAGTGTTTTTGATCATGCAGATGCAAACCATGATGCGGACCCTTTCTGAGCCTGGTAGGTCGAGGTGCGCGGGCTGCTCCATGATTGGTGCGGTGGCTTGTAATTGGTTACCGCACGTTCTGGCAACCATGCGCCATGTGGAACGGTTTCACTTTCGCTCTCGTTTGGGTATGCTTTGTAGCAGGTCACCGTTTTTGGATGATGAGATTTGGACATTCCTTTGGACATCCTTCGTGATTGTCATTGAAACAGGGTCCACAGTATTCTTTGGCGGTTCAGGTTCGACGTGGCCGACATGGGTGATTTCATCCGTTCTCCGCAGTTTGCGGGGACGTTGCGCTGCCCTGCTCAAGTTAAGTTTCCCTAAAAATCTAGGAAGCAAATCATTAGTGCTAGCGCTTCAAGGAAGCTCCCCCCCGCCCTCAGGTGGGGTGAGCTTCCTTGAAGCAGCGTGAGCTACCCTGCGTCCATGCCTAGAAGTTACTTAGCCTAGTAACTTACTTCTCCCTTACTTAATCAAGTAGGCGCCTACTTAATTAACTAGGAGGCGGGGTAGCGGGCAAAGTCGAGACCTGAGATTCAGACCTGTGAGGTGAGAACGTCGCACGATATTTTGGAGTGCCTGTTGAGTGGGATCCTCGGTCTTTTGCACCAGCGCTGCCGCCATGCACCATTTTTGCTGCCGCCTTGTTGTTCATTCTTCTGGCGGTTGCCGGGCAAGTCTTTCGCGGGATGAAGCTTGGCGGAGATGCGCAAACGGCCAGGCGACAAGCAATCTATGATGAAGCTGCAGCCTTGGGTTTTGACCTTTAATGTTGATATATTCTCTCAAGTTGGTTCCCCCCTATCCAAGACATGCCAGCCAAAAGGGCCTCAACATGTACTCTTTGGGCAGAGGGGCCTAGGGTAAACTTAACATATTTTGCGTCGGACAAGAGGCTGCCATGGAACGTGGGTTCGGGGGCACGGGCAATTGCAATTGTTTGGGAACGGGGTTTCCACAGCTTCCAAAGATTGATGGTTGGTTTTCCCCTGGGCAATCTTCTCATTAAGGTGATCCGAGAGCGATAGACAGGGTTTGGGGAGCAGCAACAAGGGTATGAGATCAGCACTAGATCAGGACCATTCATGTGCACATGCGTGGACGTTGATGTTGCGTGCAATATCTGTGAACCACGACGTTGTCTGGCTCACATTCGCCTCTTTCAAAAACAGCCAGTTCCGCCTGCAAGTCCCACCGCGATTTTTCTCTACAGTTTTGTTCCCTGCCGTTTTGCACTTTTCTCTAGGATAACTCTCCTTGCGTGCACTATTCACATTTTTCCGACTTTGCTGCACTTTGCTTTGGAAATCTCTACGCCACTCGTTTGTACTGCTCTGTAGACCTCCACGCGCGACTTGCAACCCCAATTTGCATCCCACAACTGCGATCCCAAAGCCCACCGCATGGCTCACAACGAGAGTGCAAGCAACCAGGCGTACACCGCGTGCAGCTATGCTAGTGTGATCACCCCAAGCTGCATTCCCAATGCACCACGACACTGCAATGTGCAACCCTGAGTTCCATTCCTTGGATATCCTTTGTGTGAAAAGTAGCAGTCATGTGAGGACATCCATGTGCGACACATCAGTTGTGGCATGTGTGTATCGATCGAGGCCGTACGGCGCAGGAGAAAAAGGAGCGAAGTAGCCCTGTGGATTTTCACAGTGGTAGCGGAGCCCGGTTGTTGCCGCTCGTGCCCGTCGTCGATGCACGAGGGGTAGCGGCTGGGCTCCAATCCATGGCGCAAGATGGTTCAGGAGGTGCAAGCACCAGACTGGAGCGTTTTGATGGCTCGGACCCGAGCCTCTACAAGAGGTGGCGACGTCGTGCAGCGCTGATGATCATCAGCCTGCCAAATACATATCCTGCTGAGAAATATGGACCAAAACTGGTCGAGTTCTTGTCAGGAGAGGCCGAGCTGGCGGTGGAACATATTCCCATCGAAGACTTGGCCAAGAGTGGAGGCGAGCGCCTGGTGTTCAAAGCACTGGATGAGCGCTATAAGCCCTTGGAGAAGGACGACATGAATGAAGCCCTCAAGGAATTTTTCTTTGAAACGGCCATTCGGTCGGGAGAGACGATGAAGGCTTTCATCACTCGCTTCATCACCGTGGAGCGCAAGCTGCGTGAGCAGGGAGTTGAGCTTCCGTCTGAGGTCAGGGGGTGGTTTATGCTTCGTAAGCTTCACCTCGATCACAATCAGGAGGCTATGATTTTGACAGCTACTCGGGGATCCTTCAAGGTAGAGGAGGTCTCACAGGCTGTGAAGGCCATTTTGGCCAATTCCAAGGGAAACCACAAGCCCGTGCAGAAAGACACCTTTGTGGCCGACGAGGATACGAGTGAGCTGACATCAGGCTCTTGGGATGAGGACCAGGAGGTCTTGCAGGTTCTTGCAGCGGAAATGCAAGAGCAAGAAGAATACGACGAAGAGGCCATTCTGGACACCTTTGAGAGTTACAAGCAGGTGAGAACCAAGATGCAGGAGGTTCGAAAGGCCCGTGGCTTTCGTCCGGAGACATCGACGTCGAACTCGAGCCAACCATGGAAGCTACAGGGAACCATCTCTGCAAAGCTTCAACAGGTGAAGTCTCGAACACGCTGTCATCGCTGTGGACAACTTGGTCATTGGCGAAAAGAATGCCCGTCACGAAGTGCAGGTAAGGGCGGCAACCGTGGATCCTCCTCATCTGGCGCAAGTCAGAGTACTTCGAAAGAGGTGCACATCGTGGAACACGACTGGCCTGAACAGGAGGACTTCGACGTGTTGTTGAATCAGGCAGCT